TGTTTCTGTAATTATTCAAGCATAAACTTTAGCTCAGGATTTTGCGCTGCAAGTGACAACTGAGCAAAGAACCTGAAACCTGGAATATGTTCCAGACTTCCTTCGCCATGCGCTTTGTCACGTTCAAACAGTCATCCCCTTTGTCTGTGCTCATTTCATCATTTCTCACCAACTTTTCTATGTATATTTGAACGATCTGATCTTATATCTTCCGATCTGAAGACACCCGGTCACAAATTCGCCGCTGCAGGTCCCAGAACCCGATGAGAAACGACCAGAGTTGGAGATCGTAGCGAAGTCTTCGTAAAACTTCCTGAACCTCTGCGGATGGAAGCTATTTTACTCATGTGTCGATACCACGACGCGCGCTCAGGCCTGTATTGGTGTTCTGGTAGAAAACTTTGCAGATAGAATCACTGATTGGAAGCCTGTCAGCTTAAGCGTGGTAATCCTCCGACTGAAGCTACAACAGGCTAAAGCTTTGGCCTTAGTACAGGTCTGTGCGCCCAACTTGGAGAGAGAATATGATACCTTTCCTGAGGAAGTGCAATGTGCTTTGTTCGAAATGCCGAATACAGAGTCCCTCAAACTCATGGGCGATTTTAATGCGCATGTCGGGCAGATGCTGAAATGTGGAAAGACGTTATTGGAAAGAACGGCCTTAGCGACCTGAACAACAACGGTAAAAAGCTCTTGCTGTATCGGACTGTCCATTATGAACACCGTCTTCGAACATTGAAGCGTGCATCAGCATAATCTGGTACAGGAGAGCTAGTGCACAGAAGTCGATGATCGATTTGATAATCGCATCGACGCTCTGTAATGGATGCTCGTGTTAAGAGAGGCGAAGAGCTGTCAACCGATCACCCCTTGTTTACGGCACGCTATGCTGTAAGAAATATAATACTATACGAAGATCTGGTGCCAGAAGCAACCAGAGAAACAAACGGGAAACACTATCTTCCGTGCATACCAAAGCGAAATTTGGATACCACATAGACCAATAGTTTGAACAGATCCCGGTGATAACCACTGGTATTAATCCTGAATGGGAGCACCATAAGAGCGGCATATTTGAGGCTGCCGCCGATTGCTACGGATTTAAACGGATTGGACTGCCACCTGAAGGTCAAAAAAAACTTACTGGTGCACAGGAGAGGTACAACTGGCAGTTAAAGAGAAGGCTGCATTCAAGAAATAGCTTGGAAACAAAGAGCCTTCTACTCGGATTCGATATATCGAAGCACGCAAAGCGGCAGCGAAATCAGTGGCGAAAGCCAAAGCTCATACCTGAGAGAAATTCGTTGGTGGAGACGAATTTCCGAACGGAAAATAGGTATTCTGGCAGACCATTCGCCGGATCCAAGGTGAAAAGAAGGGCAATTTAGATCTCGACACCCTCATACCAAGCATGATGACATTCTTCGGCGATGGAGGGAGTACTTTCAGAAACTCCTTAATCCCAAGCAAATGCAGCAAAACTCGCCTGTAAAGCAGCAGGGAACGGATATCAGTAATTCTGTGGATGAAATTACAGAAGCCGTGTAAAGCTTCAAATGCGCAAAGCCTGCTGGAATTGATGAAATTTACCCTGAAATAATCAAAGCATCAGGCGAACAAGGCATGTGCTGATTTATATATGTCTGTCAAACTGCAATGGGCACGCGGAAAGCACCAGTGAACTGGACAACTAGGGTTGTTGTATCTGTTCAAGAAGAGAGATCATAGGGAATGCTCCAATTGTCGGGGCATTACTTTATGGAGCCTCCCGGGAAAAGTCAACGGAAAAGTTGTTAGAAAGGAGTTGCCGTAAAATTACAGACTCGAAGATACAAGGCAGTGTGGCTTCCGGCCCGGTCGAAGCACCTCTGGCCATGTATTAGCCCTACGTCAGACTGTTGAGAAACCGTGGTAGTTCGCCCATCCGATGTACATGTGCTTGGCTCAGCCAGAAAAAGTCTATGACCGGATCCCGCGCAACAGTCTGTGGGCATGCCTGTGAACATACGGGATCGATGGCCAATTGCTACGAGCCATCCATTCACTATATGCTGATAGCAGGTGCTGTGAGTGTAAAGGCGTTATGTCGAAGCCTTTAAGCACTGAAGAACCCAAGTTGACGAGTGTATCGGTGCAGATGTATAGACGAGAACACTGCTGTTTGCAGACGACCTCGTTATATTGGCATCTTCTGAAACTGATCGACAGTGCTCTTTGGAAAAGTCTGCAGCCGAATGCGACGCGACCGACATGCGTTTGAACGCATCTAAAACGAAAAGCTTAGTGATTTCTCGTTCTTCTGCCTTTATTTTCTTCAGATTAACGGAGAGGCAGTGGAAAGGTGGAGAAATTCAAGTACCTCGGAGTCGTGTTTACGGGTGATGGAAATTCTGAGGCAGAGATCGACCGGCGGATTGGAGTAGTCAGTGCAGTTCTACGTTAAATAGCTCAAACCATTGGGGCTGAAGCAGAGCTGAGTCTGAAGAGTAAGCTCTGAGTATTTCGGCTGATCTCCATCCCCCGTCTCTATGGTCATGAGTCGTGGACCATGACTGAAAAACTTCAATCCCGGGTAACAAGCGGCTAAAACGGGCTTTCTGAGACGAGTCGCTTGCCTTACGCGTCTGGAAATGGTCCGCAATACAAACATCCACATCCACGAGCTTTAGTGAACAGCCACTGCTTCCTCAGATTGAGATGTCACGGCTGCGACGGTTTGAACATGTGTTGCGAATGCCTCCGGAAATGAAGGCGAAGCTATAATTTCTTGAACAGCCGAGTGGCAGAAAGCTCAGGCGATGGCCAATATTAACTTGGTGCAAATATCTGGAAAGAGTCTGTTCCAGACTCCAGTTTTCTTATATCGAAGTTAAGATCAGGAACGTTGGAAGCACCGTCTGATGCGTCTGCTACTGCAACCCGAAAGGAGAAGCGGTCATGGAAGATGATGAGACTGCCGATCGCTCATCCACCAAACTGCATGGCTCATAAACCGCTGAAACAATTCTACGCGATTTCTTTAATTCCAACAGGCAAATGATCCGTTCGCTGTAGCGGCGTCTGCCCATGGTCTCTTAATAATTTTTTCAGCATTATTACGATGAAAATTCTCTATTTTTACCTTAAAACCTGTCTCTAGTGCTGCGTTAGTATCCAATCGCTTGACAGTGTTTATAGAACTATGATATAACTTGACCTTAATTGTGCTTATTAAGAACATGCCAACGCAAATCCTTCAGTTTTGCAGATTTCAATTTATTCATGGCCTTAATGAATACAGGCATTCAGCCATTCGTTTGCACTCAACAAAATGACTTTAAATCACTAAGGATCACCGGGTCAAGATGGCAGAGTGCCCTACTTTTGCAAGCTTATTGTTTATAGGATGCATTGTTTGAAGTATGATGGGATAAGTGATCTGATATTATTTTGTCGAAAATTTATAGATGGGTCACATGACACTGGTGTTTTCCTGTTGGACGTTCCGTGTTCTGCATGCATTTTTTGTCCGGAACTGAACATGATCGAGGTACCTACATTCATTTGTCGGTTTGTTCAGCGCCATACATGCACAAGATAAATAGTTTAAACTTTCACGAGCGTCAGTGGTTTCTTCAGATCAAGTTCAGTAGTTCTGAATGTATCGTCAAAACGCTAGTTTCCATGCGCTACACTGACAACAGTCTCTATTAACATGCAAAGAACTTGTTTAATCAGACTTAATATCCCCCGTTCTATTCTAAAAGCTTGAACACCTTAAATCCATAAAAATCCCCGTCTTCACGCAGCCTTCAGTAAAATGGCTGTGCGATTCCGGTAAATTGACTAACGAAGCAAATAGAACAATTCTGTGCCGCAAATTTAACTTACATAAGTACCATTTATGGGTAGGTTGACGAAACATGCACCGTTCGTTGAACCCACTTCAGAAATGGCAAAATACTGAGTGATCAAAACAGGGTTACAGCAGATTAAGCCGGTAATAGGAAACCTGCTATGCAAGAGGGAAACTTCTAGAAGTTTTACTCTTGCCTTAACCATTGTATGCCGCGTTAAGCGTAGCGACTGTGATCACGTTTATACAGAAAAAGCCTTCAGGAGTATACTCCCCCTCCAGCCCATAAACACAGATTATTAACTCCATCGCAGCAAGTTTTAGGATATGCGATCAACGAGCTTACATTTTCATAACTGAGAGAGATAAAACTGGACTGGAATTGTTAATCAAAACTTCCGCCAACAATCTGATATACAGAAAACATGCAGTAAAGTGTTCGTCGTTCGACATAGTTCAAAATTAGAGCAGAATCCGGTGTCTCATTCTGGATGAAAAGGTATGCGAAAGCCGATTTGATGTTTCCCACTTTCTGAAACATGGCAATAAGCTGTATCTTCAAACCCATTTTACTTTTTAACTGATGACCTTACTATTTGTAAACAGCTAACACCCCATTTAGTATAATTAGAACACACGATGTATTATTCAACGACAATCTTTCCAAAATGTGTGATCCTCGTTGGACCAGTGTCAATCAACTTTGATAACACCCAATGGCATACTGAAAACGCCATATCGACCGTTCAGTAAAGACCTGCTAGTGTTATTTTTCTATGTAATCCTAATCTTCTTACAACTTGGCAAAGATTGCTCCTCATGTTTAGTTCAAAGTTCGAAGGTAAAACTAAACAGATTGAGTATATTTGAGCAATTAATGATCATAGACCTGTCTGTTGAGTTTTTAATACAATCAGACTGTTCCCAAAAATCTATAAATATATATAATCTGACGTTTCGGACCAAGCTCGGTCGTCTTCAGAGTACAATGGCCGGCATGAAGATTGACAGAGCTTGGTCCGAAACATCAGATATCCCTAATTAAAGAAAATTTTATGCACTATGCGAGTTAGAAAACGAAAATCTTTACCCATGTTTCAAGGCTATCTTGACGAAACCTTTCCTTGGCTTCAGGACGATCGTAGCATTGCCGGGACGAGCATACAGTGCCTCTTCGGCACCGCCTACCACGATCACCACAGCATCACCCTTAGTCGGTCGGGTGAGCACGTGTTCGATACTATTCTTACTGACTTCGATGATACCTAGGCGAGAAAACAAGAAAAATATGCTGGTCGGCTAACATCGACGCACATAGTTACCACACAGCTCGAGGTCCTCCCTGCGAATAGGGAAGCAAAAGTTGGCCGCCAACGTGCATGGATATGTAGTAATTCCAGGAAATTTGTCGCTGAAGTGCGTCGCCTCGGTGGCAAAGTTCAGCACGGTGCTGAAACTCATGATGCCATGAGGATGACAGCCAAAAATATACTTGCGTTCCGGGTCCAGTTCGGCCGTTTTTATAAGCTTGATCGGAAAGTAATCGGCCATGTACTTGAAGGCACTCCTTTTGCGCCAGTACATCCACAAGCGTGATCCATTCTGCGGCGTCCGAAAGTCGTACCAAAACCAAGTTAAGTACAGCACTGCCAGCCACCAACTCCACCTACAGCAAAACAAAATCGCGACACATAAAAAACCGACTACCGGTAAAACGATAACGGCGGCTGGGAACAAGGCAATGGCCAAAAACTGCAGGCAACGTTCCAGAAAGCGAAATAGAAATGTTCCGAATACGTTCAGCTTCTCGGGAACAATAGCTGAAGCGACTTCCACAAAATTTTTCAGGACCGAAGCGAGCTCATTCATAATCGGCAAATAACACGCAGGTTGACAGCCAGTGCTGACCTTAGCACCGCGTTATATTTGATTTGCAGGTTTTGAAGGAATGAATCGAATTCGTTACATGAGAGTATCTAAAATGTTGAATTTTCCTTCCGTGTGCAACGCATTCAGCATTGTGTTACGAGTTGATACCTCAGTAAGTGGCGTTCGTCCCGAAGAATGGCCTGACAGGTGCAGAGGATACATGTGCTGAATACATCACCATGGGAATGGTCGCGACGAAGCGGACAGGTGTGTAAATTATGGATGAACGGACATCATGGAGAAGCGCCAGTCGTCGGTTACGGTATCGCGATTCAAGTAATGTTTGCAGTTAGTGATTATGCGTGCGATCGATGGAAACTGTTTGCAAATAAAGAATGAACTAAGGCTACACTTGCAATAAGCTACCTTTGCGCATAACTCCTCCGAGACCACATTTCATGGCGCACTGCACTGGTTCTTTGCAACCAGTTGCTTAGAACGACAATTTTAATATAATTTCCCCATGGTATTTGAGCCGCTGCCTTACCCGACGCATTTCAATTAAATTGGTCAAAAGAGCTTACAAATTAAAGTAGCGGAAATAACAGATAACTGTTACCTGATTCGTTTCACCAACATCTGATCCACTGATATAGCAGTATAAGCATATGATACAACAACAAACATCGTACATCCTAGCGAGACAAGAAATAAGGAATGATAAAATACAGACTACATCATCATCATCTTCCATCACCGCTTCTTCTTTCGGGTCGAGGAGGCAGACACGTCAGACAGCTTCCAACGTTCGCGATCCTATGCCAGAGTCTCAGCTTCGGGAAAAGACAAATGGAGTCTGGAACAGACTCCTTCCATATATTTGGTTAATTCTGGCCGTTCCATGGGCCTTCTGCCGATTGGATTTTCAAGGAACAGTTGCTTAACCTTCCTTTCTGAAGGCATTCGCAACACGTGCCCAAGCCATCGCAGTTGTAATTTCTCAATCTGGAGAAGCAAAGGCTGTATTCCAAGGCTCTTCCCGATGTCACAATTCCGGACCACGTCGAGACGCGTAAGGCCAGCGACTCGTCTAAGAAAGACCATTTCAACAGATTGAACCAAGGTTCGAAGTTTTTCAGTCATGATCCACGACTCCTGATCGTAGGTAAGCATAGAGATAAAGATCGACTTCAATGCCGAAAGCGCAATTTTCAAACTCAGCCCTGCCTTGGTCACAGTGGTTCCCGCTAGTTCACGCAGAACGCCACTGGCTACTCCAATTCGACGGTAGATCTCTTCCTCCAATTTTCAATCACTAGTAAATACTTGAAGGTACTACTGCAAGGTACTTGAACTTTTCCACCTGCTCCACTGCCTCTTCATTAATGTGAAGAGAGCAACGGGCAGGAAAACGAAAAAGCATTAGGCTTTCCGTTTTAGATGCGTTCACACGCACGCTGGTCACATCGCACTCGGCTGCGAACCTTACTAAGGAGCACTGAAGGTTAGTTTCAGAAGATGCCAATAAAACAAGGTTGTCTGCAAACACCAACATTCTCGACTTCACATCTACTACACCGATACAATCATCGCCTTGGCTTCTTCTTACTCCTCTATCCATGTACAACACAAACAGGAAAAGGAAATGAACGCAGTTCTCGCCGAGACCAGTGCGAACGTTGAATGGTTTCGACTTAACGCCATTAACTCTGAAGCAGCAGTTGCCATCAGAATACAGTGATTGGATGGTCCTTAGCAGCTGGCCATCAATACCGTATGCACGAAGGCTTGTCCACAGACTGTTGCGTGGGATCCGGTCATACGCTTTCTCTAGGTCTATAAAAACACATATACATCGGATGGGCGTACTCCCACCATTTCTCAACAATCTGGCGCAGGCCAAATATGTGGCTAGAGGTGCTTCGAACCGGCCGGAAACTACACTGGTCTTCTTCGATCTGGAGGTCAACCATTTCACGGCACATCCTTTCTAACTTCTTTGCATGTACTTTGCTTGGGATGCTCAATAACGTTGTGCCCCTATAATTGGAGCATTCCTTGTGGTCTTCCTTTTTGAATACGGGTACAGTAACTCTCGTTCTCCAGTCCGCGGGTGTTTTTCCCGTAGTCATCGGAGTTTGACAGACACGTGTTAGCCAACACATGCCTTGTTCGTCAAATGCCTTGAGCATCTCGTCAATTCCGGCAGCTTTTCCATTTTTCAAGCTTTTCACAGCTTGTGTAATTTCATCTACAGAGATAGCAATATCCGTACCCTTCTGCTCTGCGCTCATTCCGGCAGCTTTTCCATTTTTCAAGCTTTTCACAGCTTGTGCAATTTCATCTACAGAGATAGTAATATTTGGACCCTTCTGCCCTAGAGGTGAGTCTTCCTGCTGCTGCGCGGGGTTAAGGAGTTCCTCAAGGCATTCCGTCCATTGCCGAAGAATGTTATCATCCTTGGTAAGAGGGTGTCCAGATCTGTCATTCAAGACTCTGAGACTGCCCGCCTTTTCACGTCGGATCCGGCGGATGGTCTGTCAGAATACTTTGTTTGCCATGTGGAAATTGGACTCCAACACCTCACCGAACTTCTCCCAGGAATCAGCTTTGGCTTTTGCCACTGCTATGGCTGCCGGTTTGCGTGCCTCGACATATTGGACGCGAGTAGAAGGCTCCTTGTTTCCAAGCCATTTCTTGAACGCTGCTTTCTCCTCTTTAACTGCCAGTTGTACGTCTTGTGTCCACCATGATGATCTTTTCTGACCTCAAGGCGTCAAGGCATCCCGTTTATATCCGCAGCATTCGGCGGCAGCCTCGAGTATGCCGCTCTTAAAGAGCAGACACTCGGTTTCAATTTCAGTTGTCATCATTGGGATCTGTTAAGACAGTCGTGCGATGTTGGTCGCAAATTTTGCTCTCGTGTCTACCGAAGATAATGTTTCCCATCTGATTCTCCGGTTGCTTCTGCCACCCGATCTTCATATGCTACTCCATTTGTTACTGCGGAGAGTGCCGGCAACAAGGCGATGATCGGTTGATAGCTCTGCGCCTCTCTTAATACAAACATCCATTACTGAGAGTCTTATGTCAGACGATACGATTATCAAATCGATCATCGACTTCAGTGCACAAGCATCCCGGTACCAG